ATGAGAGACTATGGACTCTGAGAAACAAACAGGGTTTTAGAGGGGAGGGGGGTGGGGAATGGGTTAGCCCGGTGATGGGTATTAAGGAGGGCACGTATTGCATGGAGCACTGGGTGTTATACGCAAACAATGGATCGTGGATCACTACATCAAAAACTAATGATGTATTGTATGGTGACTAACATAACATAATAAAATAAAAAAAATAGATGTGCAGAAATTGGAATCCTCGTGCATTGTTGGTGGGAATGCTAGTGAAGCTGCTACGGAAAACAGTTTGGTGGTTCCTCAAAAAGTTAAATATGGGATTACCATACGATCTAGCAATTTTGCTCCTAGGTATAGACCCAAAAGAACTGAAACAGGGACTCAGATCCTTGAACACAAAATGTTCACAGCAGCATCATTCACAATAGCCAAAAGGTGGAAACAACCCGAGCCCATCATCAGATGAATGGATAAACAAAAGGTGGCATACACATACAGTGGAATAATATTCAGCCATAAACATGAGGGAAACTCTGACGGCTACTACAATACAGATGAACTGTGAAAATATCATAGTAAGTGAAATAAACCAAACATGAAAGGACAAATATTGTATGGTTTCACTTACATGGGGTACCTAAAATAGGCAAATTTGTGGAAACAGAAAGTAGAGTAGAGGTAACTAGGGCTGGTATCCAAGATATATAAAGAACTTCTCAAACTCAACTTTGGGGGTAGGGGTTATAGGGAGTTAGTGTTCAATGGGAACAGAATTTCTGTTTGGGATGATGAAGAAATCCTGAGAATGGACAGTGGTGTTGGTGGCACGACATTCGGAATATAGTTAATGCCACTAAATTGTACACTTAACAGTGGTTAAAATGGTAAATTCTATGTTATGCATAAAAATTGCTTAATGCAGCAGTTGGATCAAAAGGCAGGTTATGGGGCTCTTGAATCTGGATACAGGCCAGGGTAGGTGCCAGGGGTTGAGGTCTTGGGCCCTGGTGATGCTCCAGACAGGCCCTGATAGCCTCCACTTGAGAGGTTAAAAGTAACAGGATTAGAGCCATCTCATGGATTAGTTGGAAAAGAAAAGGAAAAAAAAAAATCAATTCAATCCCATCCAACACAGAAGAAACATTCTTTTTTTAATATGAGTCAAACATCAGTTCTTATAGGAGGCTTCCTGTCACCTACTCAACCTACTCCCCACAACCCCATAACTCATGACCTTTAATAAAGAGACCCTGTGTAGAGCTGTGGGGGCTATGATTACCTGACTCACACTAGTGAGTCAGACTTGATTTCAAAACCCCTCCATCCTCTCCCCAGCTGTTGTGATGAGCACCAGGTGATGTATGGAAATGTTGAATCCCTATATTGCACACCTGAAACTAATGTAACACTGTATGTTAATGAACTGGAAGTTAAATAAAACACATATACAAAAAGAAAATTATAGCAGACAAAGCTACAGTAATCAAGACAGTAAGACACCAAATGAGGATAGACATGTAGATCAATGGGGTATAACCAAAAGTCTAGAAACAAATCCTCACACTTATGATGAATTGATTGTCAACAAGAGTGCCTGTACAATTTAATGGAGAAGGCATTTTCTAAATAAATGGTACTGGATAACTGGGAAAAAAATAAAATAGCTAAAACTTTCCCAAATTTCTTGAAAACATACATTTTCAGATCTAGGAAGCTTCGAAAATCCCAAACAGTGTAAGCTGAAAGAAAACCATGCTCAGATACATCATACTCAAACTTCTGAAAACCAAAGATGAAGAAGAAGTCTTGAATGCATCTATAGAAAAATGACGTCATCAATCGTGGAAAAACTTGGTCTATGGCACATGTCACATATTTACAAGCTTGTAGGAGTTAGGTCTGTTACAGATTGGTTGAGTTGATCCGGGTGGAGCTGTAAGGACATGGAGAGTGTGCATTCTGTCTAAAGCTTGTAAAAAGTTTGCAGTGTCTTGACCCATGAAACACAGAATTCCAGAAGGCAGAATTCAAATTACAGGACACGAGCTTGTATCCTACAACTCCAGACTCCCGTGGCAAGATTAAAGGTCAGGAACGCCCAGCCTGGGTCACGGCGTAAACTTGAAAAATACGCATAGACCCGATTTTTAAAATAAATCTTAAGAGTTGGAGTAAGACAGGTCTCCTGACATAAATCAAGCCCCTCTATCAGGTTCCTGGAAACTCAAGAGCCCTCATCTGGGCAAGATGAAGAGACAGAGCAAGAACCAAGTTCATGACTGAGATCCTGCATGATTTTCTGGATGTTCAAATACAATTCACGAACGTGGACATATACAAGATTGCCACATTCATCCATTCATCCAATCAATAAATATAAAGTGAGTGAAGACTAGTTACTCAGCTTCAAGGTGACAAATACATAAAGACTGAATAAAGCCAATAGTAGTAAATTCCATGAGAAAATACTCATGGTGGTGGATAGAGAAAACCTGTGGGCCAGTTGTGTATTCAGATGTGCTACTTCCTATAAGGTGGTCTAGGAGGGTCTTTCAAAGAAGGTGATGGTTGAACTGAGATTTGAAAGGCAGTAAGGTGCCAGGTGCAGCTGACCTCCAGGAAGAGCTAGTATAAAGGCCAGACAGAGGTTAGGACCCTAGAGGAACAGACAAGTGTCTGATGTGGCCAAAGCTTAGAGAGCGAAGGAGAAAGTGCATAGGATAGGCTGAGGCCAGGTGGTTGATGGCAACCAGACCATGTGGAGTTGAAGTTTCACAGGTCCCAGAGAGCAGACTCCTACCTGTAGAGCTGAGGATGGGGGACAGAGTTGTGGAAGATTCTGGAGAGAATGTAGAAGTCACTGGAGCTGAGAAAAAAGAACATGGGAAAAATTATTAAGTCTCATCCTGAGTGAATGTGGGACAGAAGCTGTTCATTAGAATTTGGGCTTCTGTTTGGACTCAGAGCAAGACCCTGGGTGAGTAGGGGACTCCTCTGAGTCTTTGGCTGGACACTTAGGGAGGGAGCATTGGCAGCTTCTCTCCAGAACAATGTGCTTTGAGGAATAAGGGTTCAGTGGGCATTGAAATTTGAGTCTTGAATACTCACTGCTGGTGGTAGGGGTCCAGTACTGATGGTTATAACCTGCAGGAAGGAGTAAAGGACTGTTATAATGGGTTAAGAGTTAAGGAAGTGGTAGATGGTAGACCTAGAGATGAAATTCATTAACAAACTTGCTGAGATTTATAAATAACAATAATGGCTACATTTTATTCAGTGCCCTTTTGTGCCTTGTCCTTTGCAAATAATGATGAACATCATCACCGTTACTATTGCCAAAAGAAAAATACAATAGTAAGAGCTGTCCCTATTTATTGGGAATGTACTCTGCACCAGAAATAATGCTAAACAACACACGACAAGGAAATGGGGCAGATTTACAAACAAGTGTGTTCCAAACCTTATCCACGTCCTCTCAAACCACAAAGATAACTTCATCCTTGCTCTCTTAGCTTCTCTCCCTTCACAAAATTTTATGATAATATGACTTTATCTTTCTAGCTTAGTTTCTGGGGTTTTTTTTTTTGTGTGTGTGTGTGTGTGTGATGTAGAAGTGACAAAATTGTGGCAGGCTGAGAGAGTGGTCTGTGGAAGTGAACAAAATGGAGGAGAGGGAATGTACGTGTGGTTTGTAATATTAGAGAAACTTTGGAAATGGGCTAGGATAATGAACAAGAGAAGAGAATTGGAGGTCAGATGGATGGTATAAAAATTGGAGTCTGAAAGGAATTGGGGAAAAGAGAATTTGTCATGAGTGTTTCTCTGAGTCATGGTCGTCTCCTTGGATGTTCTGTGAGGGGTGGGAGTAAAGACTGGACCCAGAGGAGCCCCGTGATTTACTTGAGTTATTCCTGAACTCTCTCATTTGGCTATCAGGACAATCTTGCATGGTATGTATGTTTACTCCATTCTGAAAATGGGATATTAAAGCCTAGAGGGGTTTTACAGCTTGTTCAGCATCACATAAAACAGAGATCTATCACTCACCAACCCTCAAACTATTAACCATTGCTTTAAGGAAATCTCCAAGTTGATACAGAGGGGAAATAACTAATCAAGGATCAGGCTAGATTGTTAGGCTAGAGGTCATTCATGCCCCTTCCTATCCTGAGATTTGAGGCTTTCTATATCTGGGTGGTCTGTGGTGTTGCCTTGTGGTTAGGACCTTGGGGTTTAGATTCAGTTCTGGGTTTGTTTGAGTCTTGACTCTGTCATGCATGATGGCTGGATTATCTCGAGCGAATGACTTCCTGTCTGAACGCATGATGGCTTTCTCTGTAAAAATGACTATAAAAACTCACAGGGTTTTGGGTAAGATTAATATGAGATAATACAAATGAAGACTTTATCACAGTTCCTGACACATCGGAATGTTTTGATAGGAATTAGCCACGATTACAGTTACTATTCTCAGTGTTAGCATTGCTTTTAGGGGCATTGTTGTCAACGGTGTTAGGTACACAGTTATTACTCATGGAGTATGTGTTAAGTGTGATGTTATCTCATCAAGTCTGTGTAGCTCTGACTGGCCTGTGGGAACTTAGAACATTGGTTGTCATGATGGAGAGAATGACATGGGGTGAGGGCTGGCATGGTCACCCACTACCCATTCAGAAACCTTAGCCACAGAGTTCTGCATCACCCACTTCTTTCCCTAGAGTCTGCATGCTCCAGCAGTGGAAATAAGGAGGAAGAAAGATGTCATCCAGGAGGTGAAAAGGGAAAGGAAATCAGCCTCCCATGGTGTGTTAAGCATTCAAAAATGAGTCCCCAAGGAAATGCTAGGTTTGCATCAGAACTATAAATTTGTATACAATAATTTCTCAAACTCAGCATTATTGACAATTTGGTCTAGATAATTCTTCATGGTGGAGGGCTGCATTGTGTATTGTGGGATGTTTAGCAGCACCCCTGGCCTCTACCCACTAGATGTCACTAGTAACACTCCAACTATGACATGCCAATATCAGTATCTCCAGACATTGTCAATGTCTCCTGAGGAGCAGAATCATCCCGGTTGAGAACTACTGGCATAAAGAAGCATGGGACTGGAGACCCCAACTGCAGCACAGACACTCACCATTGATGTAGAGACTGTCTCTGTCCAGGGTGTAGGTGCCCAGCCAGGTGACACCGTGGGTCAGCTGATTCAGTTCCTGGTACAGTTCTACTCTGTTTAGCCTGCGGCCCATGGGGTCAGGATGGTAAGTGCAGATGGCATCCACTCCAGTTGCTGCTCCGCCCTTCTCAGTCCTAGGGTGGTGGGACATGGGAATAGGGGCATCCTGAGATGTGGGAGAGTTATATACCTTGTTCAACTCTCGTCTTCAGCTTGCTGCCCCCGGCCCCAGCCCCAGCCTCAGCCTCGGTTTGATGACATTTTTCTTACTGGGTCTTGTCTAGTTCCTCATGTGCATTCTTTTCTGGGACCTTTTCATCTAGGATGAGCCAAACACGTAGAGCCAAACATGTGGAAGCATCCTGGATCTTCCCCTGTCCTTGGTCCCCCCGATCCAAGCAACATCCAGGTCCAGCTCAACATCTCACTGGTTTTCCCACCTCCTGTCCCATCCTCATCTCAAATTTTCCCATCCCCATATCTACCAGTGCACTACTTAAAATAAATGACAGCACGTCAAGGCTCTGCTTACAACTTCATGGTTCCCCATAGATCTGAGGGATAGCCACCCCTTGAAATACCTTTGCCAAAGTTTCTTCTGGCTAATGTTCATTCAGCCCAGGCATCATCTTCTATAGAGTGTCTCCACTCAATGTCCACAATGAGCTAAAAGTTCATCCTATGGGCTCCTATCGCCTCCGTGTAGTGCTTTATCGGGGTATTAACCCTGTTCCTATTATGGTTTTAAGGCCATATGGCTGCTATCCTCCCTATACTGAGGGAAGGGCCCATGACTGATTCTCTCGGTGCCCTTAGCACCTGTCACAGAGGATAGCCTGAGGTACCTCATTTCATGTCTGCCCAATGAGTCAGTCCTGCCCTTTCTGGCTAGTGAGCATGAATGCTCCATGGCTCTGCTTATCCAAGTAATTTAAGACCTTTATTTGACAGTTATCTCTTTCAGGAAGCCCTCTCTGATACACTCAGCCAGAAGGCATGCTGTCCATCTGAATTCCTGGAAGGCCCCAGTCATTTATGATTTTTTTAGTTGCTATGTTCAGGTCCCCACCTTTAGGTGAACTTGCCTGTGGCAGTGCAAGCCTTCATGTTGTAAGGGAAGGAAGTCTCACCTGAGCAAGGTCAGTCTGCAACCAGAGTACAGTGGGCCAATACTGGTGTTCTTAAATAAGGGACCAAGCTGGGGAGGAAGGAGAGAGAGGTGAGCAGGAGGGGCTGAGGTGAGTGGGTGGGGCAAGGACAAGGCAGGCCAGGGAAGGCATTGTCAGGCTCTTACCAGGCTCTTCAGGGCCCTCTCAGTGGAATTGAACTTCATGGAGCCTGGGCGCCTCATGTCTGGGGTGCAGAGCAGGTTGGTGATGGTGAAGTTGAGGGTGAATGGCACCAGGGCGGGACCCACACCTGCAGCTGAAGGGAGAGAGAGAGGAGAGACCCATCACAGTCTTAGGCCTGAGCTGTATGTTCGGGGGAAGGGACTAGTACTGTCTCTCTGTCCATAGTATCCAGTAGGTAAATCCTGAGATATCCCATCTGGGATCTCCTCCCTCCTCAGCCAGCCAAGGGAGGAGAGTGGACCTCCATTTAGCTGTGTCATGTCACCTCAAAAGGAAACCTCAATCTTCTCATCCCAGAGTGTCCAAAGGCTGACCTGTCATTCACATTTTAGTAGGAAGAGGAGGGACCAAGACCTTTTGTGCTCAGACCTGGGGCTACAAATGCTTGAGCAGTCAAGAAATCCAAACAGTAGTAATTTCCATGAAAGAAATGATCATAGAGATAGGATAGAGATTAGGTCCCATCTATGTGTGGGATATGGGGAAATGCTACTTTGTAGGAGGAGGTCTGAGCAAGAGCCAGCTGACCTGAATCTGAAGGACAAAGAGAAACCAGGAACAGAGCTGAGTTCCCATTATAGTGAGAGGAAAGGCCCTGAGGATGGAAGGATGTTTGGTCCCTGGAAGAACAGAAATGAGGCTGGTGTGGCCAGAGATGAGGGAGCAAGGGAGATAGTGGGACAGGCTGGGGCTGGGTGGGCAGCAGGGTCCAGATCATGCAGGATTCACCAACCAGAACAGGAGTTGAAGTTCCATGGGACTTAGAGGTTAGACTCCTACCTGTAGAGTTGGGGGTGGGAGGCAGAGATGCAGGGAGTCCTGGAGAGAATGTAGAAGTCAGCGGAGCTGAAGGAATGAAAGAATACAACATGAATATAAATTGTTGGGCCCAATCATGAAGCAGTGAGAGGACAGGGCTGTTGACAGGAGCTCGTATCTCTAATGGGTGGTCTGGAGCTGCTCTGGGGCTGAGAACCTGGGGGGTGGTGGGTACCTTCCCCCCCGACCCCGGGGAGCAGGCGTAAGGAGGAAGTGTCCCAGGGAGGCAGGGACATCTGGGCCCTTGTGACTTACTGCTGGTGGTGGGGATCCAGTATTGATAGTTATAACCTGCAGAGAGAGCCAGAGAGGAAGAGTAAGCTGATGGGAGGAGGCTAAGAAAAGGATGAGGGGTATGACTTGAAACACACAACGCAAACCTTCTCAAGTGCTTCCTCTGAGACTCATCAACTCTTTAGGAGTTAACTGCCTTGTACTCTGGTGCTCACAGTCGTGTCGTCCTCACGATCATCAACCACAAAGACAATGATGATCAAAATACCCCTCATCTTAATGGGGGTTCACTAGGTGCCTGGGACAATATCAACCTCACCAAATGAGTACTAGCAACAACAATTTTATGAGAGTGTTTCCAGCTTTATTTGTGTTTTCTTCACCAATTAAATATAACTCTTTCCTTGGTCTCTGAGTTTTTCCCACTACCCTACTCTTCAGAGACAGCGTGATCTTTGACATAGTTCCTGGACTTCTGTAATGTTGAACTGAGATCATGAGGGTGAGAGAGTGAGACAGGCAGACAGAGGTGGGAGTCAACCAGAGAGTATAAAGTTGGAGAGTAAGAGGGAATTGGGGAAAAGAGGGTTTGAATAAGTATGGTTCTGGATCATGGACTGGGTCTTCTCTGATGTTCTGTAGGGAATGGAAGTAAAACTTAGACCTATTTTATATTTGGTGGTCTGACTGGGTTTCTTGAAATGAAACTCTTCTTTGAGACTGGACCTAGTGGAGAGAGCCCTGTGGCTTACTTAGATTATTCAGGTTTTATATCATTTGACCTTTACAATAATCTTAAATGACGTTTTTAAAAATTCCGTTCTAAAAATAGACAATGAAGCCTAGAGAGGTTGCATGGCTTGCCCAGGGACACAGGATGAGCAAAAAACCAGGACCAGGGCTTAAAGAAAGACCTGTAAACCACCCAAACCCACAATGTGAGCTACAGCTTTAAGTAATTCTTAAGGACTATTGAAATATAATACAGGTTTTAATCCAGATAGAAAGACAATGTCAAAGGCAACACAGTGGAGACATAATTAATTGAGCATTGGTTTAAACTGTTGTATTAGGGGCTCCTTGATATGCCTTCCCATCCTGATATTTGAGGTTTGTTCTAGCTGAGTTTGTCTGCAGTGTAGCCTCATAGTTAGGGGGCCTTTTGGGGGCCTTAGAGCTAATTTAGGGTTTGAGTTCTGATGCTACCACTTACATTAGCTGTCTGATCTTGGGAAAGTAGATTTCCCTCCTTGAGCCCTGCTTGTTTCTCTGTAAAATATACATAATGTGTCACAGAGTGTTGGACAGGATTTGTAAAACATAATACACACCATGTTCTGGATCACAGGCATCCCTCAATAAACATTAGCCTTTAGTATAGGTGTGACTGTGGGTTTTGTTGCTAAGGGCATTGTTGAGGAGGGATTTATTGCTAAAAAACATTGCTAACAGCTTTGTTGTTTGATTCTCAGGTGGGATGTAGTCTGGCTGGCCCCTGGAGGATAAGCAAAAGGCCACAGACTATCATAACAAAGAGAAAGAAGCAGATCAGTCACAACCTTGGGAACTCGTTTCCTGTTGGGGAGGAGTGAAGGCCAACAGCCACTGTGGGCTTGTTTTATACTCTTCCTTCCCTGATAGCTTCATGCTCCAGTTGGGTTTCTGTGAAAGGTCACTGCAATGAAGAAGACTATGCAGGGAGCCTTTATTTCCAGACTTTGGAAGTTGTTCTGTGAGCATTAGGTGTTGTATGAAAGTGTTGAATCACTCACTATACTGTACACCTGAAACTAACAGAACACTGTTATCCAACTGGAATTAAAACAAAAACTTAAATAAAATAAAAATAAATAATAGTAGGACTTAGAGACAAATTAACTGACCATGGAATGTTCACACTGCTGATATTTGAGAGACTCCATTTGTGCAACCAGAGGAATGTAGTGAAGACAAACTTAGCAGCATTCATGAGGAGAGTAACAAAAAAGGTGAGGCTAGCCAAAGGAAGTGACATCAGCAAACAAAACTTCACATTAATGAAATTTTCAGAGATAGTTTACCATATTGAAAGCACATAGGGTAAAATGCTAGAATCTGATTGAAACTTAGAAAGTAATAGGATAATTCACCCTGGCATAGAAAAAGGCATGGCTGTCCTGTAAACAATGTGATAAGAAGGTTCCTAAGAGTTTCCTCCCCCAAACCCCTTTCATTCTCAAAGTTTCTAATATTTAAAATGCAGTGTACAAAAATAAATATTACTTTTACTAGAGACAAAGAAAGAAAGAAAGAAAGAAGAAAGAAAGAAAGAAAGAAAGAAAGAAAGAAAGAA